TCTCCATCCTGTAGCAAAATCCATGTAGCTGCCTGCCAGATCAAGATAGAACACTTCTATCTCCTGAGTAGTTCCCTCAGGTCTAACAGTAACTAGTCCTCCCTAGAGGTAACTAACCACTTTTCTGATTTCTATCACTGTACCTTTTATTAGTTTTTTATTAAGGTACTAGAGGCCCGGTCCACAAAAATTTGTGCACTCGGGGGGGTGGGTCCCTCAGCCCAGCCTGTGCCCTCTCGAAGTCTGGGACCCCTCGGGGAATGACCACCTGCTGGCTTAGGCCCGCTCCCTGGGGGAGTCAGACATCCCTCTGGCAGCCCGGGAGCCCTCAGGGGATGTCCACTTGCCAGCGGGGAGCAGGCCTAAGCTGCAGTCGGACATCCTTAGCACTGCTGAGGAGGCGGGAGAGGCTCCCGCCACCACCGCTGTACTGGCAGCCGTCAGCCTGCCTTATGGCTGAGCAGAGCTCCCCCTGTGGGAGCACATTGACCACCAAGGGGCAATTCCTGCATTGAGCGTCTGCCCCCTGGTGGTCAGTGTGTGTCATAGTGACCAGTCATTCCCAGTCGTTCTGCTGTTAGGGTCAATTTGCATATTACCCTTTTATTATATAGAAGTGCCTGGCCAGCCTGGATGAAGGGCTGATGGCTGTTTGCAGGCTGGCCACAGCCTCTTCTGGGGGGGGGGTCCTGCTGGGGTGCCTGGCCAGCCTGGATGAAGGGCTGATGGCTGTTTGCAGGCTGGCCACAGCCTCTTCTGGGGGGGGGGTCCTGCTGGGGTGCCTGGCCAGCCTGGATGAAGGGCTGATGGCTGTTTGCAGGCTGGCCACAGCCTCTTCTGGGGGGGGGGTCCTGCTGGGGTGCCTGGCCAGCCTGGGTGAGAGGATAATGGCTATTTGCAGGCTGGCCACAGCCTCTTCTGGGTGGGGGGTCCTGCTGGGGTGCCTGGCCAGTCTGGGTGAGGGGCTGAGGGCCATTTTCAGGCTGGCTAAGCCCCCCAGCGGGTGTGGCCAGCCTGGGTGAGGGGCTGATGGCTGTTTGCAGGCTGGCCAAGCCCCCCAGCGGGGACTTTCACCCCATGATGGTGTGGTCATCCTGGGTGAGGGGCTGATGGCTATTTGCATGCTGGCCATGGCCTCCAGCCACCCAAGTTCCCAGTGGAGGCTGGCTGGAAGTAGGTATCTGGGATTTATTTGTCTTCTATAATTGAAACTTTGTTGCCATAAGCGGAGGCCACAGCCGGCTCAGGGCAGGCAGGAAGCTTGGCTTCCTCCATCGCCCAGGCAACCAAGCCTTCTGTTTGCTCCAGCCTCGTGGCTGCTGGCCGCCATCTTGATTGGGTTAATTTGCATATAATTGTTCTGATTGGCTCGTGGGCGTGGCTTAGGGCGTAGCAAAGGTACAGTCAATTAGCATCTTTGTCTTTTGTTAGTGTAGATAAGATACACATAGTAAAGAACATAAAGTTATTTACTTAAGTATATGATTTGACATTTTTTACATATGAGTACACCCATGTAACCATTATCTAGAACAAGATATAGATTATTAAATGGCTTTTTTAAAAAAAAAAGAACAGCTGCATTGAGATATAATTGAGATAGCATAAAATTTGCCCTTTTTATGTATACAGTTCAGTAGATTTTAGTATATTCAGAATTGTTCAGTGATCTTCACTGTCTAATCTATAATCCTTTAATTATTCCAAGGAGAAATTCCATGCTCTTTAGCAGTCACTCCCCATTTCTCCTTGCCCAGTCTCTGGCAGCTATGAATCAACTTTCTATTTCTATAGACTTGCCTATTGTGGAAATTTCATATAAATGGAATCATACAGTAGTATCCTCTCACTTGGCAGGCTTCTTCATTGGCATAATATTTGCAAAGATCATTCATATTGTACTTCATTTCTATTGTTGTAGCATTTATTGTACTTCATTCCTTTTTGTTGCTATTCTGTGGATAATGTTGTTTATTCATTCATTAGTTGACAGACATTTGGGTTGTTTCTACTTTTTGGCTTTTATGATGATGCCGTATGAAGGTTTGTGTCTCCACTTTTCTGTAGACATGTGCTTGAATTCTCTTAGATATACATCTGAGGGTAGAATTGCCAGGCCATGTGGTAACTCTGTGTTTAGCATTACAAAAATAAAACCACAAAACAAAACAAAAAAAAACTCCTGCCAACCTGTTTTCCAAAGTATCTGCAGCATTTTACATTCCCATAAGCCGTGTATGGGAGTTCCAGTGTCTTCACTTTTCTCCGACACTTGTCCATTTTCGTTATTATAGTCATTGTTGTGGTATGAAACCGTTTCTCATTTCTGGTTCCTGTATCTGAAACATCCTCCCTTTCCCTGCCTATCTTCATATATTAAAAATCTTTGAAATAGTACCTTTTCCATAAAACATTTACTTGATTCATCCCAACCAGAAGTGATCATTTCTTTTTTAAAATTCTCCAAAACATTGCTTATATCTCTCTTGTGATGTGTTTATTTCCCTTATGATGCATTTCCTTGTATATCTGTTTTATCTTATCATTATCTACTAGAGGCCCGATGCACAAAATTCATGCAAGAGTAGACCTTCTTTCCCCCAGCTGCCGGCACCAGCCTCCCTCTGGCATCCGGGACCCAGGCTTCCTTCCGGCACCTGGGACTCGGGCTTCTCTCGCAGCCCCGGCTTCATCCAGAAGGTCGTCGGGAAGGACATCTGGTCTAATTAGCATATTACTCTTTTATTAGTATAGATAATATCTTAGTGTTCTTTAAATACCTAGGACTAGGGAACCTTTTTTCTGCCAAGGACCATTTGGGTATTTATAACATCATTTGTGGGCCATACAAAATTATCAATTTAAAAATTAGCCTGCTATATTTGGTCAAACATTTAATTAACTCACCCCTAATGCCTTGGCAGGGCCAGACCAAATAATTTCATGGGCCTTATATGGCCCGTAGGCTGGACGTTCCTCACCTGTGCCCTAGACTCTAAGACCCTGGGGAGATATGGTGAGGCAAGGAGATAAGAAGGCAGATTTTGATATGTGCAAAAGAGAAGTACTAGTAAATGTTTGGGTCTTTTTTATTCTCTCTGCCCATGCCTCCCATCCCTGTGTGTGTGCATGTGTGTGTGTTGGATTAAATTTGGGGGTTACCTGCCAAAATTAGGAAAACTGCCTAATTCTAGGAACTGGGGCAAAAATGGGGAAGTTCAGCTTACTATATGTTATCCAGTGATGGAAACGGGAATTATTTCCTTTTAGGGTCTATATTGTTAAATGATTTTTATATTTACATAATAACAATAAAGCAACAGAACACTTTTCTTTAAGTTCCTTCCTATTTTTCCCATTGCATCAACACAACATTCTGTTTAAAGATCAAGTTATTCATGCTAGAAGCCATGTGTTAAGTAGATGACAATGAAAGTGGCTGGGAGTAGTATTGGTATCTAGATTTGTATCAGTTTTCTTACAGAAATTTCACAAAAATTGACCTATTTTATTCATTTGAATAATTCTTGATTAAATTCAGTATTTCTGTTGTAAGCCCCAAATAACAACTCTAAATTTTTCAGGGATGATGGCAGGTGGACCATATTGATGTGATATTTATTTCTTGTACTTTTCTCCTGGTGTGTGTGTGTATGTGTGCATGTGTGTGTGTATCTGACCTTTGATGGTTGGCTTCTGATCCATACACTCTTTGAAGCAATATATATTTGGAAAGATTACAGAATAAAACTGAATGTTTATTGTGCTCATTTAAGATATATACCGTACTCCTCCCTAATATAGCAGATGAAAAACTGGAATGAATTCCCCCTTCTCCTTTTCTTAAAGCTTTTAGTGTTTTAGTAGAGTTCTAATAATTGGAATTTATAATCTTTGAACAGAAATGTTTTAATAGTGCAATGAATTTTGTGAAATGAGCTTTGCTACTGAGATTTTCTGTTTTCAGAGGAAGAAAAAGTGGCATTTGTTAACTGGATAAACAAGGCCCTGGAGGATGACCCTGACTGTAAGCATCTCCTACCCATGAATCCCAGTGATGGCAGCCTTTTCAAATCACTTGCAGATGGCATCCTTCTTTGGTAAGCTGAGCATTGGGATGAGGGAGCTCTGTTCTTACAGTATCCATTGATTAGAATTCAAAGAAAATTACAATCAGCAAATCCATTGTCTTTTGGAACTAGTTAATGAGTAGCTACATAGGTCTTGAAGAATTTATATCACGTAGGAAATTAAGTGCTATATGTTTTCTAGAATTTTCTTTCAAATGTAATTTCTTAATTTTCTGATGTCTTTTTATTCTATTACCTTAATAGTAACCTTTACCAGGACACTTTTGAGTTCTTCCTCTTATGTATTTTACAATGTTCACAGGGTTTCTCTTTTCACTTCTCAACAAGGGAGTATTGACTGTTGATGGGGACAGGAACATGAGTAAATGTAGAAGGATATATCACATTTGTACTTGAATGACATTAATGTTGTAGTTCAGCCTTGTCTATTCCTTGACTCTTTGCAGACTGTTTCTGCTTACTCCTTTGGAAACTCTCAAAGGGCATGTTTTATCTTTGTTGCATGTACTATAGTACAGGCATAGTTCTTGGTAGAAAACAAGTGTGAGTTTTTTTTAAGTTTATAAAACTACAGAAAACTTATCATCACAAATAGTCTTATCACCCATACTTAGCCATTATTAACATTCTGGAATATTTCCTCCAGTCAGTTTTCTGTGTTTTTACTTGAAAAGAAGGAAAACCTACTTATGAGTACTGGATATGTTTTTATTTTATTTTTATCTTTTTATTTTTTATGATTAATTTCTTATTATTTAAAGTATTACATAAGTCTCCTTTTCCCCTCATTGACCTCTCCCTGGCTGCTCCCACCCCCAGCACATGCCCTCACACCCCTACTGTCTGTGTGCATTGATTATGCTCATATGCATGCATACAAGTCCTTTGGTTGATCTCTTACCCCCTCACCCTCTGCCTTCCCTCATAGGTTGGACATTCTGTTCAATGCTTCTATGACTCTGGTTCTATTTTTGTTCATCAGTTTATATTGTTCATTATATTTCACAAATGAGTTAGATCATGTGATATTTATCCTTCTCTGACTGGTTTATTTCACTTAGCATAATGCTCTCCAGTTCCATCCATGCTGTTGCAAATGGTAAGAATTCCTTCCTTTTTACAGCAGCGTAGTATTCCATCGTGTAGATGTACCACAGTTTTCTAATCCACTCATCTGCTGATGGGCTCTTAGGCTGTTTCCAAATCTTAGCTATTGTAAATTGTGCTGCTATGAACATAGGGGTGCATACATCCTTTCTGATTGGTGTTTCTGTTTTCTTGGGATATAGTCCTAGAAGTGGTATTACTGGGTCAAATGGAAGTTCCATTTTTTATTTTTTGAGTAAACTCCATACTGTTCTCCACAGTGGCTGCACCAGTCTGCATTCCCACCACCAGTGCAAGAGGGTTCCTTTTTCTCCACATCCTCTTCAGCACTTGTTGTTTGTTGATTTGTTGATGATAGCCATTCTGACAGGTGTGAGATGGTACCTCATTGTT